TTTCCGATATATCGAACCGTACCCAGGGTACCCTCCGATAGTACCCTGGGGAACATAGACCCTATCAGCGCCATTCGCCGATGCACATCGCGTGTTCATCGTCATTTGCGGTATAAAGGTCATAGTTGAACTGATGGTAACGTCCACTGATCTGTATATAACAGCACACACGCATATATATGCATATATATATATATATATAGCATTGCTATGCAAAGCAAAGCCGCTTTCACCTAGCCTGCGTTAAGTATCAGTCTACACTATCCAGTTGCCCTTCTAACAAATGGTCTCGAAAAAGGTAACTCAAACGCCATACTAATGAGCATCATTATCGTATATGTTATTCTTAGAGCGGGGCTAATATCCCTTGCGGAAAGTGAGTAGAAGGGAAGCTAGGATGTGGGGAGGGGGAGAACTGTCCTCAGGCTGGTGGTACTGTAAGGTTGTTTTACTCGTAAAGAGAAAGAAGTATGATGTCACTTTCACGAACTAATGATCTGTATAGTATCAAGAGCTAATAATAGGTATTATTAGCTCTTGATAGTATTAAAGTGGTTTCGTTCTTCTATCTGCAATATTTTCTGTAGTTATCAGTTGATAACGGTGCGCGGTACGTGTGACAGACAAACACACAGACAGACGGACGGGCAGACACACTCACAGACACACACACGGAAGGACGGACGGATGGAAGGATAGACGGATAAACACCGTTTGCGCATGCGCTGCAACGATGCTGTGTCAAGAGCCAGTCACCCACTGGTACCCCTCTCACGCCCACGCAAAATTCACACATGGCAAAACATAGGTCGAGAGCATCGAGAACTAGAGCATCGAAGAATAGAAGCATCTAGAACTATAGCATCTAGAACTATAGCATCTAGAGCATCGAAGCATAGAAGCATCTAGAACATCGAAGCATAGAAGCATCTAGAACTAGAACTAGAGCATCGAGAACATCGAGCTGGCGCGATAGAAGGCCTTGCACATGCGAAACAGAGAAGGTAGAGAGAGAGAGAGAGAGAGAGAGAGAGAGAGAGAGAGAGAGAAAGAGAGAGAGAGAGATAGACAGAGA